TCCCACGTGCTATGATTCAAAAAGATCAGTAATCAAGAAATCACCTCAGATCACTGTTACATAGAGGTTTACACTTTAAACTTGGACTGACACTGAAAAATAAATGAATTAAAAGTATTCAAGTTTAGCTGGTTCAACTTAAATCCTATGAAACGGTATCGGTACAACTAACTCCAAAACACTGTGACAATTCACAAATAATTTCTGTTAAAAAAAAACCTTAAGTGAACTTACAAACTGCAGTACATTGTCTGATTCTCTTTTTGATTAGACCAAGGAGAAAATTCTGTAGTGGAAAAAATCAGTGGAGGCATGTGTAAAAAAGGCAGCAGCAACATCAGAATTTACCTCTTTTACCTCTCTGTGGGTTTCACGGAGCAGCTCAGCTGATGAAGACATATCCTTGCTTCAGAGTTGGCAGGAGTGTTCTATACAGGAAAATGACTGTTACTGCACACTGGTAATTCCAAGTTGCAGCCTGACCCAAAGAAAACATTTCCAAAGAAAGCCAGTGAATTTTAAGACCAGTGTTTCTCTCATAATAAACTTAAGAAATGTTATTAATTTCTGCATTAAAATATGTCAGTTTTCCGGCTATTACCTTTAGAAATATTCCATTTACAACACACATTAACAATGACAAAAGCCTAAAACATAGGCTTTTGTATCAGACTGCTGGTGACTGGTGATATTTAGCATTGTCCAGACCATGATCCTTTACAGATCTCAGGGCAAGATGGACTTCTTGATGTCTTATTCCTTAGCATATTTTGACATATTTCATTCTGCTCAGGCAACGCTATCAGACAGTTATTGTTTGTAAGCATTCCAGCAGTATAAGTTACTTGGTTTTAAAACATGACTCAACAAATACATGTAAATAGAGCACAAATGTTAAACCATGACTTGGTCTAAACTTTTGGTAGCATTAGAATACTTGAAGTAATAGTTGAAGCCCATCTAAAGAAATTGTTCTTAAGGAAAAACCAGGATTTTTTTCTATGGCCAGTTCTAACCTGTTAATGGGAGCACAGACAACGTGATTTAGACACAATCAGCTTTCCTCTCTTCTTTCTTTTCTTCTTCACTCATTTTAGGTGCGAGTCACCTATTGTTTGGATAATACATTTATCTTTACCACTTTTCCCCATCTACCTGCCCACCTGAGTGACTGTGAATAAATCTGTTATCCTTCATTAGCTTTACACAGCCTTGACTATTGCACTGTGCTATTGTCTATAAACTGCAATTTAAACTGCATTTGCTTACATTACTTTTGTCTGTTTTCATTCAGTTTGCCTAATGCCTAGAACAACTGGTCCATGACTCAGGCTTCTAATTAATGCTGTGAAATGAAATTCATGTGAATGTTATTGTAAGAGCAGTACTATATAAAGAGAACACCATTTGAGAAGCCCTCGTAGATGGGCTAACAAGAGATGTAGTGCTGTTGGGTTTAAATTCCCAAATATGCTTGCACATTGCAAATGGTCGCTCATATGCAACTTTGGTTTATAGTCCTTAACCAAGGCCAGCTGGATGTGAAAGAAAAGCTACTGAACCAGTTAACAAAGGTCCCCAGGCGGCAGACAAAATCTTCATTCTGTCTGGATCCTTGCAACTACTGCAGCTTGATCCAAAATTCTTGGGAATTGCAGACAGTTTTGCAAGCTAAATTAATCTACAATTTCTCACCAACTGTGTCAGTAGATACAGAGTACTTCACACAGGAAGTCAACTCGCTTCTTGCTGGTATTATCTGAGTTACTATTTTCCTCGTCCCTGGCACTAGGGTTTGGGGGTAAATTACCCATCTCTCTCCGATCCATATATTTCTATTTTCTACTGTAATGACAAAGCAAAGATTGCCCATTAAAAGGGACACAAACAACTCAAGAATTCACTTGTAAACACCATTTTTGGAGTACGCCTTATTGTCTGTTTTAGAAAATCCCCAAAGGAACAATATTGCCTCCTCCCCAGGGAGAGAGTAGAACACTGACAGTGGTGTAACCTCAATGTACAAGGGGAGAACATACTGGCAATCTGCTCCTGCAGAAATTCTAGTGAGTGTATATAAGGTAACAAGGGAGAGGGGAAAGAAAGAAAGGTAAGTAAAAAGAGAACAACAGAATATCATATCAAGGATTTTAACCCCAGCTACATCTCTCTTGCAGTTGAAAACATGTCTCCTATTGCAGAACTGACTTTCTGAAGTAACCACAGTACAGCTCTACTGCTGTCCATGGAGATGGATTGAAAGAACAGGCCTTTTATTTTATTTCACCCCCCATGAAGTACACAATGCAATTGCACAGGCTATGAACTGGACAAAAAAAGTCCCTATGAGCAACAAACTTAATGCAGTGATCTGTTTTCGAGAACCAGAGAAAAGTTTGCAACACAAAGCAAGTTTTCTGGGGGTTTGTTCCCCCTGACCCCTATTATTAATCTCAGACACCTGGGTCTAATTATGCTCTCAAACTCAAGCACTCTCATTAATTTTACCAAAACTTAAATATACTGAGTCCCATTCAGGATATTCAGCTTTTCAACACTTCCATAGGATTACTGTCAATGGGAAAGTACTTCTCAACTTCTTAGGGGAGAGTGACATCTTGTGGTTTCTTCTTTTGACCAGCATTGAAAAATAAAAATTAGCCATAAAAGCTTTAACTTTTTTTTTGTTGTTGTTGTTGCTGTTGTTTGTTTCTGGTATAGCACTCTGATCTTACTTTTTTTTAGAAATATACACCTGAATCAGAGAAATGTATACAACAGTTTACTTCGCCACCATCAAGGCTTATGAAAGGACAGTGAAAATCAGTGCTTGAAACAGCAACAAAAAACATTCTAATTTATACAACACAACAATTTTTTTCTTAGAATGCAGCACTAATACAGAAAACGTGTTCAACGTCACGTACAAATGGGATCTTAAGTCAGTCTCCAGTGGAAGCACTGCCACTGAAAGGATTCATAGGAAAACTACTCTTTCCAACTGCAGCTCTGAAAAGCATTTCCATCTGGACTCCAGTACATGTATGCAAGAAAGAAAGAAGACAATGATAGCATCAGGCAACTGCATTTCATGCTTTAAGTCCATCTGCATCACAGAAGGATCTCGGTAGACAGTGTCACATCATGGGTCACTTACACAGCACAACTATGGAAGTTTCAGTAATTTATTTTCTGATATAGCTTCCAACATAAAATACAATTCTTAAATTTTTTTTGTAAGACAACACACCTAAGAGATACTATTGACAAATTCCCATTACAAAACATCAAACACAAAAAGACAAAATTATTTTGCTGGGTTTTGTCTTGAAAAGCAACAGAGTCTTTGAAAGGAACATTATACAAAATCCAGATGAAAACCCACAGTGGAATAGTATTCGTGTACCTCAATACATTGGTAACAATACTTAAGATACTACCACTACTAAAACCAGTACTGAGAGCTGTTCTAGTTGTGGTCTACAACTAACATCTTCACATAATTTGCTAATAATTCGTTATTGAAAACCAGGTAATTCTCAATTTTCAAAAAACCCATGAAATGCCTATTTTGCATCTGTAAAGACTAGGAGAGTATGAAGCAAAATAACTAGTGCTTGTATTTCTGTTTCTGCTGGTTTTCCTGTATTCCCATTTAGGCAATTCTCAAAATCAGATTTGGAATATGCAATTTTGCATCACTCCACTTATACCTGTGCTCAGCCTAACTGCTAGGGAACACTTTACACTTGCCTGATATCCTCTATAAATCTGACTGGCAGCTCTCCTTCCATAATTTCATAGCTTTAGTTCCAGTCTATCTTCAGTGCTTCCCTTGGTGAGAAACGCCTATGCTGCAAGGAACTAATGCAAAGAAAACACAAAATTGGTCAGGAAAAACTTTCTATGAACTGAAAATAACATGAGTGAGGGTTGTCATCTGCTTTCTTATTTCTTTCTAAATCAGTGAAAAACCTCAAAAGCTACCCTAAAAAAATGTAACAGCTTAAAAATAAGGCTCCTATAAGGTTAAAATCACCAGAGATCCTTAGCACATGGGTTACTTTTACAGATGTTAGATGATGTTCATAGAGTCATTTAAAGATGAAGAACCAACCCTTATGTCAAGGCAGCTGGTTTTACCTTCAGGGAGACTAGTTCTACATGTTGATAAAATTACTCCCTGCTCCTTTTCAGAAGCACTCTCTTGTTTTCCCTCCCAAGCATAACATCTCTAGCTATACAGAATAAAAATTACACTTCTTTTGTCTAAATTTGAAAACAAAACTGTCTCACCAAGTCCAGACTATAATACACAAAGGGTAATAAGCAGCACCAATACACTAAGGAGCTTCATTTTTTCTTCTGTGCAACAGAACTAAACAATCCAAAGAGGCAGGGCTAGAAATATGCTCAAATGTCCTTTCTGAGGAAGTGTAATCAAACCCCATGGAGAACATCCATCACTTTGAAGTTTAACCTGCATGAGTTTCACCAGCATTATAAAAAAAAAAACACAAAAAAACAAAACAACAAAGAAACAAAAAAAAAAGAAAAAAAGGTGTCAGATTTTGGAAGTTTTCTTTGCATGAATAACTTTGGTAGCAATATCTATGCTGTTCTGAAGTGAATATATGCCAGAGAAGCCTTCAACGAAAGTTCAGCCAATACACATTTGTTCCCATGGAATTCAAAGGAGAAAACTCCTATTGACTGAGAAGAAACCCACTTATTATCCAAAAGTTTGTATTTATGATATGTTTCAAAGCAGCTCCTCCCTTCTTTTCTCCTATTCTCGCTTACCTTTTTAGTAACTTCTGTTCACTTTATATTTGCACAGTGAGGGAGGAACAATTATATGCCTTTCCCATGACAACTGGTACCTCTCCTCTTGTAAGTGGACACAACAACTAATTCCCCTGCTAGTATTTACTTGTGGTATGTGTCACTCTCCTCTCTGTCACTTTATTCACAATAAAAAGTTAGGGAACAGAAGAATGATGTTGTTCCTTTAGAATTTATTTATGAATAGAACATTTTTAGACACTGAAAATTACGGGTTTTTTTGTTTTACTTTGAAGAAAGCTCATTCTAGATCTCTGAAGTGAGATACTGAAAAGCTTAGGTTAGAGTAGAACAAGAACTTCTGGAGAGAAAAGTACATTCACATGAATGACATTACTATTCAACTATTTTACTTCATTCACAGACATAGCTATTCTACACTGACTAGTCTCAAATATTCATGCAATCAAATCTTATTGGCATCAACAGTTCTGGAAGATCAATGGCAGAGTAACATGCAGGAGCATTCATAAAAGCAACATTTCAGAATCACATGTGAGAGAGTTCACACAAAGTCTACCACAGGTTATGTTATAGAATAAAATTGACTAGGCTTAAATTGTTCCATTAACTTTGATGAGACAGTGTATTGCAGTCTGTTTACTATTTTTACAGGAACAGGAAGAGATTACATTTTCCAGATGTAGTTCTTCAACACTATAAATTATCATCAAGGTTTGCATTTGTAATACCCAAAGCTGCACACATTCCACTCCTGTCTCACTGAGCAAGTCAGTCTTTGGACTGTAAAAAAATTACCAATAACGGATTTGCATTTTTTTGCTTTACAATTCTCTAGAACAAGAAACAGTTGTTGACATGTACGCAAGTTTATTTTAAGAACACGACAATCACAATGACAGAAACAGAAGCATTACTGTAATACTGTAAGCTTTCCTCTGGAAATTGACGTGCACAGTTAGATCTGAAAGCATTTTAAACAATATCTTGTGGGAAAACACAGAAAAACTTAAATGTATTAACTTCAAACTTTATGTGCTTATTTCCTCTTTTGGTAGCTGGTGGCGGTTAAAGCTTTTCAAAGTCATGGCCACTTGCACTCATTGCTTCAGGGTGCATTACCCTTCCCATGAATAACACAGTACCTGTCGAAAGGGAGGAACGAAGAGAAAATGTCAGAACCAAAAGGAAAAGTTGAGGCTGTAAGATGATGAATACTAAGTTAGAGAGCATGTGATTCACAATTTTTATAAGAATATAAGCCTTGGAGGACTTAGTACCCATGAAAGGCAGTGGATCAAGACCCCTAGAGAAGAGGACCTTTTTGTATTCAGAACTGATACAGGACAGACAAGAATATGGAAGTCTTCTGCATTTCAGTGCCCCTCTGCTTATTCTAAAGGCTTCATTGAAAACCCATCACAGATCAACAGAAATGTTCACTTTCATTTCAATGGTTCTGATGAGGGCCTATGAAGTACTGTCCCTGACATCTTAGTGGTTATGACACAGTAGGCTGGGGTGCTTCAAAGGTGGCAGCTGACCCTAACTGAAATGTGAATACCTAACCAGAGAAACCTTATTGACCACTTCTGACCCTCACATGCCTGCTGGACAACATTCCTCACAGAATTAAAAGTGAGCCCCAGAAACTCCACACCAATCAGTTAATGATTAATAGATAGATACTTCGTGTTCACAGATTTACTCCATATTAGAGCATGCAACCCACAACAAGGAACTCATATATAAATACTGCTCCTCTAAATTGTTTTATCACCATTTACATCTTTCCTATTTTACACATTTCTAACCTATTTAAATACAGTAATCAATCATGAACACATAGGGTATTCTTGAGAAGAGTAACCATCACAGATTGTTTTTCCAAAAGGTTTCTCATCTTAGATGTCTAAATCAGCAAAAGGCTTTCAGGATTTAACTATAGTTGTTGGCAATTCCTCTTCCTGCGTGCAACAGCAACCCCTATGAACATTAAGACCTGCATAAAAACTACCAAGCTCTACTCTGCTCTGATCTAAACTTTTCTTTTTTAGGATAATTTTGTATATTGAGTAGGGAAAGAACATATCTCCTTCAGAAACATTTTTGCTTAATTCAGTCTACAACAGCAGTGATCCTCGACTTAGATTTGGTTAAAAACCTTTAAGAGTTGGTATCATTCCTTGTAGACAAATGACTCTACCTAGTTAGGCTGTAAGTATCAGTGCAATCTAAATGGATTAACATACGTTGATATTTATGATAGGGATCTCAAATATAGGAAAAAAGCCTTTCTAACTGAACCTACCAGTTTTCTTATAGAAAATGAAAAATACTGGAACACACATATGATAATCGGTGGGTGCATAGTAATCTTTTCTCATTCAGTCACATGCACATCATTAAAACAAATTACAAATATGAAACTAAGGAATTCCTTAATCATTGCCCAGTTTGCTAGTGAGTGCTGTTCTGTTCCCTTGCTTTCCACAGAATGCTTCAAAAGCACAACAAAATTATTCATAGCTGCAATATCTATTATGCAAATCATTTAATATCAGGAACATATCTAACTCGTCTTACTACAGCCAAGCTCTCACAGAATGCGTGATTATGGATATTCAGGGCAATAACACTGTGTTCTCTGAGGAAAAATGGTGAATTTTTCTTCTCTGGGGTTTTTAATCACATAGTTGTGAATATTTTCCAGGATTATGTCAGATTCTGATATCTTACTTGGAGAAGCATTAAAGAGACATAGAAAAGGTGAACCTTTCAATATTGGGTATTTTAAGGCAAATTAAGGAAAATTAATTATATAAGGCCAGTTCACTGATCAAAATATGTGATTTTCTTTTGTATACTTGATGATGTACTGTGAAAAGTGTGGAAGAGTCTGCATTATTCTCACCTGTTCTTCTGTTTCTGACCAAAAAGAAAAAGGGATGGTCAACTATAACTTGGGGATACAGCACTGCCATTCTGCTAATGGCAATCATTCCTAAAGGAAGAAGAACATAGACAACTTGTTAAATATCACTGCACATTCTCCTACTCTTCATGAGAGATACCTGTGAAGGTCATGAGCAGACACTGAAGTCCCACACTCACCACTAAGCATCACCATGAAATATCATGAAAAATCTAACTGAAAACAGAAGAGTCCGACAGATTAATTGCCTATTTATGCTTTAAGAATGATTAACAATAGAGTGGCACAATTTTCGAGGCTGAGGGAGCAGCTTATAAACTTTAAGATCCAGAACTCTAAGAGGAGTTATGACTCCAGCTCACTTGTAGAAAGAAAATGCATTACATTAGACAACACTGCTGACCTGTTTTAAACAGACCCAAGCCTGCAGTTGACAGTAAAAGGTAACCCTTAATAACTATGGAATATGAAAACTAAATGGGCTGATCTTGAAGCTTTGAGCTTGAGTCTTTAAATAATGCAGAGTTATTTACTTTAAATAATGCAGAAAGTAGAAGTATCTGGAAATCAGGCAGAATTTGGCTCTTCGTTATTTTTATTTGGAGATGCATAGATTCCTCCATGATATTATTATTAGTTCCCAGTGCTTGATTTACTTTACATTTTCACTGCAATGTTAATAAAAACTCATGCATACCTGTAATCACTGTCCATGTTAATGTTACAATTTAACCCAGTTACTGACATTCATAACCAGGGAAGTAACTCTTCCTTTCTTCAAAGACTGGTATAAGTAGAGGCAATTAGAAATCACATAACGATACATATTGTCAACTAATGTAACTTATTTTCAGGAAAAGCATATGATAACCAAGTAAACCAACTACCTGGCCTCCTAGCATGAGTAAGAGCCAGCTATGTTTCTGCACTTAGTGCTTCAAATCTTACATCTCTGTGTACAAGTTTATAAAAGTGCAATTGCCACAACTCTTATTCTCCTCTTAACTATTCTGGATCAAATGCCTCTGACCATCTCAATTACCAGATAAAAAATTATGAATGTAGAAGTTCCATAAAGAAAATACAAGCTGCAGTCTGCACCCTCCTGACAATCAGAAGCAAAGGAAGGAAGATTTTAATCTTTCCACAGAAAAGAAACATTGCGCAACACACCTCATTAAAAAAAAAAAAAGCTAACACTTTTAATTTCCAGAATTCTCTTCTGAAAAGCAGTATATTAGCTATGCTGTGTCTTCCTGCTACATGCTATTTAGCTCTTCTGCCCGTACAGCAAGTCAGTTTTGAAAAATTAACACAAAATAACCAGACATTAGATTTAGTTCTGCTTTTCAATTAGGTACCTGAGGCAGCAGCAGCTTCTGATCCCTCCTCATTAACTTCTAGAAATGCCTTGTGAAATGCCTTTGCAAGGTAAAGTTCCTTGTTATCTGGAGAGGAAAAGGGAACATATTTCAAGTGGCTCAACAGTAAGACTGAAGTATTTTAAAAAACCCACAAACACTGCCAAAACCCCCCAAACTATTACCCACCTTCTGTCCTAAGTGGGCAAGTACAAGAGCTTTGTACATAGCAGTTGCATTAAAATACCTTCTGCCAATACTATTTATTATACTATTAAAATAGCACCATTTACCTCACTGAAATTTGTAGCCCTCTCCTACACTATGGTATTAAAATAGCTTGGCACTGTCTAGAGCACCAGCATACCAGACAGAGTAGAAGACAATCCTTTAACAGAAGATTTTAAACGCAAGTACTGGGAAAAATGATTATGACATTATATGGGAAATGCATGTAACAAACAATTTTATTCCTGCATTAGGTGCAATATAAACTTCCTCCAGCAAAATTAGGTATTTTTTTCCTTGTAATTATATTTAAAAGAAGCTGAAAATAAATAGCTAATGCAAAAACCGCCATGGAACTAGGTGTTTTTCAGTTGTTCATTTTCCATCCTTCTTTGTCAGTATTTCATTTTTGGTTCAAGCCTACTCAATTCAGTGGATGTTGCATTACTTTTCTTTAGTGGCTAAATGATCAGATCTATTGTAATTCTCAGGAACTTGCAGGAAGCAAGACACGTAACACCATTTGATCTGTTTGACTAAGTTTCATCAGTAAGACATAATAAGGGTTAGATATACATTTATCGTACCTCCATAAAATCCACAGGAATGACAGAGAACGACTGGCAGTTAAGAAAGGAATAAAGGCTTTCTCAACAGGGAGATACACAACCATGAAAATCTAATCTAATCACCCCAGTGAGACAGCCGTACCATTGTGTATTACTGATCCTTCACAAAATGTTCAACACCAAAACTAGCTGAAGGCTGACTAAGAAAGGAAAGCTTGGGACCATTCATGTAATTGTTACCCACTTATTTTGGCTCTCAAAGATAACCACTAGTTCTAATACTAATGCACGCTAAAACCATAAGAGACAACAGTTTAAAATGTCTCTCCCCAGCAGATCTCATTACTCCTACATACACTCTTAAGCTTCCTGGCTCAGCTGCTTAACTTCAATCTCACCAGCAAAAGCCCATAGTCATTCCCTTTGAGACTGTGTGTACTAAAATGTCCTAGAATCCTAAAAACTATAGTTCTAGGCTTCAGTTCTAAACCTTCAGTAATGCTGTCTTGAAAGCTGGGATGAAGTTCCAACTGCAAGTTCCAACTGTATTACTTTAAAACAAAGGATTTGCAGCATCTTGAACACTTAACACAATCCTCACAGCTTTTGCCTCTGTAACTGTTAACAGAAAGGCCACCTGAAAACACAACTTGGCTGCGTTCCAACACTAACACCACCTGTAAACCTCAAGCATTACCTGTGAAAAATAAATTACAACCTAAGTAAATAGTACAATCAGGTGTTCAATAGTCATCCCTTAAAGCTTCCATTCCATTATGGACCCATTAAGACTCAAGTTTTCAAAAACTGCTTTAGAACAAACCCTGGATGCGCAAGAGTACTTAGGTAATAATGGATAGATATCCAAGGCAAAAAGGGCAACAGATCCACAAATCAGTAATTCCTGCTGTGCATGTCTCATGCTATGAGAATGTTGCCTTTGTGAACGTCAATTACCAGGATTCTTTGTGAGTTTACTGGTCAGTCCTACATATTTCACCTTCTATCAAGCTATTTTTTGCTATCCTTGCACGAGTCCATTTCAAAGCTCTATAAAACATCTGAGCTATACTGCACATACCAGAAGAAAAAAGTACCTTTGCAGCCTTTATGGAAAAGTACTGGTTTGCAGTTCCTTATCTTAAACCCAAATAAAATTTTGTGTTTAATAACAGTCAAAGAACTACTCACTTTGCTTAATCATGTATTTTGATCACCTTTTTGATTACAGCACTTCGGCCTGCTCCTGTGACCTGTGATATTTACAGCAATACTCTGTATCTTATTCCTGAAAGCTTTATTTTGCATAGTGCGGTGGTGGTTATGGTACTCCAAGGTATGTTTCTGGTCAGAACTCTTAGCACCTCAGAATTGTGCTCTCCATCTGACAAGTTTATAGACAGCATAAACATTGCTAATTTTTACCACCAGATATAATAGCAGGCTTACTTGTAAATATATCTGGGTATTAATAAAAAACTAAAACAAGAAAAAAACACAAAACCAACATCAAACCAAACCAAACCCACAAAAAACAAAACAACATTTTGTTAAATTGACAGGAATACAAGAAGTGCCACTACAGACAAGCTCAGTATGTCCAATCAGCTTAGCACACTGTGCCAGTGATAGCATTATTACTGTTTCATAACAAGGTTAAAGAAGCCTTACAGATGAAAACTACAGCACAACTTAGAAGAGAAAAATATCCTCTCACCCAGCACATGCCTTATACCCAAGTTTCTAATCCACTGAATATACAGAATGCCTTTCTTCAGTGTAGTATAGATGGTTTTCATTGCTCTGAAGCATTTTTTTTAATCCCACCAATCTCATGACCTCAAGGAATACTCAGTAATGATCTCTGTGGTTACGTTTTCCATAAGAGAAATACTTTCTATTTGGTTTTAATTTGTTGACTTTCGCTTCACTGGATACCTTTGTTTGAAAGAAGTAAGTCCACAGCCCACTTAACTTTTTCTAGACTCTTCCCTTCATATTGCCACTATGACATCCCTCTTATTCGTCTCTCCCTGAAGTGAATGATTCTATTTCCCATCAAAGTATCATGTCATCACTGAGTATTCAGGTAGTTTTCTCTTTGTTCTGTTTTATGATTGTCAAATCACTGACTGAAATACCTCAATATCATATCCATCTAGTCATTATTACACATCTTTTTGCTATGGCTTTTGCTGGATAAAGGTGGGGCTTACCTGAGAATCTACTATCATGTCATTTTTCTCTAGTAGCTTCTTTGAATCTGGATTTTCATAAGAACCAGTATGATTTGACTGCTAGCATCTCAGAAAAGTCTCTTGGAGATTTAGTATCAAAGTTTAAGCTTTCTGCAGGACCACAGCCTAGATATCCATTAACGTGTGGGAGTAATCTGAAGCTTACTTCTAATGTACATGACTCCGTTAGCATCACACTTCATTTGTCATTACACTCCATATGCTTGCAAACTCCTACTCACAGCTGCCAACTGGTTGCTCCCAAGTCTCATTTTAAAAAAGAATGCAGGTTTATTGGCTTTTCTAGCTGAGGCTGTCCCAGAAAAATTATATGTATATCAGTCAAGACTTCAAAGAGCTATCTACCGATGCTCTTCTAATTACTTTATATTATGAAAGCAACTCATTAATATCACTATGCTGCTCACAGAAATTCAGGTCACCTTGAAGTTAAAGGTGGCTGTCATTTAAGGCATTATACAACAACAAGAAATACTATGAGCATTTGAAAGAGAAGGGGAATGTCAGTATTTAAAGTTCAAGAGTAAGTCGTAAGTGCTGTCAAAATACTCAAATAGCTAGTCTGCATGCTGTGTAAACTGTAAAACCCCAAATACTAGAAGCTGTTTCAAGATTATTTTGTACACCTGACAGAATTAGAGGCACAAGCAAAACCTGTTAAAAGTCTTTTGCTGAAAGTGAGAGTCAGAATACACAAATTAGACAGCCAAATAGGAATGTCCTCCTATCCACCTGTGTTAATTGACAATTTCTCCAAGAGGGTAACATTTAAAATGTGCATCTGGATTAATACTTTCTCTTTGCCTGCTACCAATCTACACATCATGGAAGGTAAAGCTGACTTGTCTATTTCCATTTTTTCAGATTAAGTGCAAAAAGCAAAAAATTCTAAATATTGAAAAATAAGTCTGTAATTCTGGAATTTGATTTATATCCACTAAACCCACATAGAATTTCACCGAAGTCAACAATCTGTGCCTGGATCTGATTGTAGGATAACAGCTATTGTTGAAATTGCAGGCAGCTTTCCTTGACAATAATCCAAAAGCAAGAGCAATGGGAGGGGAAGAAAAGTATTTTTAAAAGCATAAGAATATCTCAAAAATCTCCTTAGATTTTTTTTTATATAATTTGCCATCTTCCTAAATTAAGTGTCCAGACAAACATTTTGTTCAGAATGTAAACCTTTCATTTAAGGTTTAAGGAAGTGCCATGAAGTTTCCAGAAGCCTGACACTGAGATGCATGTAAACTACTGGCTTCAAACTTCCCTGTTAATTGATGTACTATTCATGTATTTGCAAAAACAAGCTTTCAACATTTTTCTTCACATTTTTCCCCCTTCCTCTTCCCTCCCCATTTTACATTGTGAAAACTAGAAATAGGATAATTATTCTGTCTTTTAATTACTTAAAATTTAATTTCCATAGCTTCAATAGTAAGGTTTTCATTAAAGACATTACTTCAAAAATATGTTCTTAATTAATGAATGACCTTTTCATCACCTGGCAGCACCTGCCCTTTCAAGTGACAAGCAAGAAAGTTACAGTACCACTCAAGAATTCTCTCTATACAGTGCTCTACATTACTTAACAAACAAGTTAATCTTTAAATGGCAGAGGCACTAATTCAGTCATGCAAAACATGATATTTTGATTTTGTACAGAACAATCGTCAAAAATGCACAACATGAAACAAATCATTAGTCACGTGGATTAAAACACAACCACATTCCAATCTTTCTGCCAGCCTCTCCACCACAGAGTTAGTCCCCTATATAGAGGTGAATTTTACATGACATTTTATATAAGAGACAAACACTGACTTGGTGGTTCAGTCTCCATGTGTATTCCCCATTCTCCATAGTACTTTTCCTCCAGTAAATACTTTTCCATGTGTAGATCAGAATTTATTGAAAAGCTTACTTTTATTTGTGGTGTCAGAGAAATTGAAGGGTTTTTTCTTCAGAAAAATGGTAAATTTATTTAAATTCTTTGCGCATTGTCTAACTAGCTTTTCCCACAATTTCACTTTCACAGTGGCAAAACAGTGGAATAAGTTACATGATATACTATAGACAATATTTCAAACTTAGCAAAAGTAAAAAGGATAGGAAAATTGCAAAGATTTCTGCTGTAGATTTTAAAGGAATATTTCCCTTCATTACCACTATTTTGAATAAACCACCAGCAGTGTTTGCTTCCAGAGACAGGCAATTAAGAACAGGTATTTCCCATCAGCTAAGGGTCTATCTGGCCAATTAGGCAGTAATCCATAGAGCGCCATACAGGGAGCAGTATATAAGCACATGTTACAAGAACGATGACAGCAATTTCACACAGGCACATGCTTCTAGATAGAGAACAACTGGGTTTACCAAAATTTGGGTGTAGACAGACCATGCTAAATACACTGCTTGTTGCCTACTTTTGTTACACAAAAGTAAAACCACTTCGCAGGCAAAGACGAGTCAATTACCTTTTGTGCCACTTCAATAACTTTTAGGAGGTATTAAAAGCATAAATATCTCATTTCCACCTGAATTTCTAAATGTATTGAATATTTTAACTTCTGAAAATAAAGTGTTGTCAACATATGTGACTAAACTGCTTTTATCAGAACTCTTTCTTTCCTATGGTCCTTCTATAAAGCAGGTATCTGGGGAGATGACTAATTGTAAAGCAGGTTAATGCTCCTAAGGCTATGAACAAACAGCCTCTGGAGATAAAAGATGACAAGCCCCTTGCCGTGTGAATCCCATTTGCCATCAAGTCACTGAAGACATTATTGCTCCAATGTGGGTCTGCCTCTTGCATCATATTATACTTTTGCTACATTTCTAATGAGATTCAATTCTGAAATACTCAGAATGAACTCTCCCAGGTTAAAAATCTCACACATCAAATACACCCCCCTGATGGTTTTCTCCTGTTTCAATAGCTCCTACAGCGAGCACACTTTTACATCATACAAAAATAATGAAGGATCTGAAGACTGCTAGCAGGATTTGGTTTGAGCTTGTTGGTTATCTTTAGGTGATTTCAGTACTTCCTCGTATACTCTTGGAGACAACACAAGAACCTCTTTCTTACCAGACATTGCAGTGAGGTCAGCACTACTGCTGAACAGCTCTGTAATTCCGAGACCTCTCCAGACATCTTTCAGATCAATTTCCTGTTCTACTGTGAACCTGGAGAATTTAATAGAAAATTACAAAAAGCCCAGACATAAGCAGAGCTTATTGTTTTGACAATAACAATAGTGAGCTAACAACAATTGACACACTGAGGTAAATAATGTAAAGTAGAAGATTCAGCGCTAGTACTACAGTGACACACTTTTATGAAAACACTTCAATTTAATTTGCTCCTATGGCTCAATTCTTTTTTTCCTAATGCAGAAGCAAAAACATGCTAAGGTTATGTACAGCCCCGACGATAAAAACTCAGTGCAAAATTACAAAGTAGCTAATGTAAATGTTTACTTTGTATACAACAGGTTTATTATAAAAACTGAATTTACCTGTGCGCACACTAGAACAGAATATCAAATAATGCGAAGGACAGCACAAATTCATGAAAAAGCAGTTGACAAAGGAGTAGGAAAGTAAGAAGGATACTCTTTTTGTTTAGACAGTATAAGCAAAGACCAGCAGTTATGAACACGAATATAAAGCATTTCTGACTCAGCTTCTAATTACTCTTGTGGCAAAACTTTAACTGGATTTTGACTGTGAATAAAGAACAGGGAAAACAAATAGTTAATGCAAATGCATATGTGAGTACAAGCTGACAGGATTTCAGGGTTAGCTTGCAAAGCCATGTTCTAGGCTATGTTACTGTGCTAGAAGGACAAATTGAGATTTATCCTGAGGGCAAGATTTTGGTCAAAAACTTGTTCTGTTTATGAAGACTGCTCTTCAAACGTTGTAAGTTATGCCTAGCATCAGTAAGAGAAAAAAAAAATAAAACCCCAAAAAAGACTCAAGTCCTTTGTGTGTGGCCAGACACAGACTGGAGAGCTGGGGAAACAAAGAAACACGTCAGAATTATATTAAAAACAATGGCAGCCCCAACCAGAAAATACTAGAAGTCTACAAATACAAAAGACTAATCATAAACGTTTGTTATGGGTGAGTTATGGATTCTCTGTAGAATTATCAAATTATTAGTGATTTACATTTGCTGACAGTGGCTGGTTATAACTATACAACACAAAATACAGTCCATCAGGTGTTGCTACATATTCTCCAGTGAGTCATTCAGTCAGAAACAATTCTGCAGTTACACTGCACAGTCCTTGCTTACAGATCTTACCCATGCTGGAACCAAATATATTAATAGGTGCTTCTGTGCAATTTCCTTTTCCAGGATTAAGCTTCCTCAGCTACAAGGAAGAACATACTCTTTTCAGGAGAAAATATAGCCAGAACTCTGAGCAGAGAACAGCTGATGAAAAGCTGTGTGACACCTTGGCATGTAAAAGCCTTGGCAGCTTGAAAAAGAATAATCTGGACATCAAAAAGCAACTGGATAAAAGTCAAGTGGATCTTCCTCACTTACAACATTTACAGAGAATAAAAAAAATATCTAATACAGAATCGACATTTGTAATGAACTTAGAAATGCCATTAGAAGCCAAAAAATTTATGATGGAATAGATGTTAGTCATTACCCAGAGAAGAATTTTATGCATGTTATATAAGATCTGGAGATAGTTCAGGACTGATAAATCACTGGTGGCATTGCAAGCCTTTGTGTACCCAGTTCATATGAATCCCAGGATATGCCTGGAACAAAACCAGAAGGACTAATTCTTGTGGTTTTATTCTTTTGGCAGCTCTCAAAAGAATCAGAAGAGACCAACAACGATTTATCCACTGGAGGAACCTTCTCATGGTGTCCTGGCATATCCCCCATCAGTGTGGCAGCGTTTTTAAAAAAAAAAGGAAAACCAAAAAAACCCTGAAAACAAACCCAAGAAAACACTACTTTAATGAATGAGATGTAGATACTTGCATTAGATGACCTGAAAACACCCAATAGGATTTTAGAAAATGGGGATGTGCCCTGTTAGATTTCTTTTCTTAGAAAGCTCTGGACACACACACTACTGGTCAAAAACTATGCTCTCAAGATGTTATTCACAATTTTAGCCTCAAGAGACAAATCTACAAGTTGCTCATTCATTCAAATTTCCCTGGCTTCTAGGTTCCAAAATTATAGACCAGTTTTAACTCTCACTACACACTTGTAAGGTATGCCCAGATCTATTTTAAAGACTTAAGTAAAAAACCTAAGATAGAAGAACTGAGATTCGATTCCTAATACAGGGGTCCTGACAGTGCACACTGAATAAATCCAGAGTGAACAAATCCAGAAGCATTTCCTTTTACATTAAAACTGTATTACAACATTAAAAAAAAAAACAACCACCCAATTATATCTACCTTATAAACAGAACAAAAAAATGCATGCTAAAATGTATTTTATAAAAATTTCACGGTGGTATATTTTTCTTTTTTTGGCTTTTATTTCACCAGAGTTAGAATTAAATGTATTAAGAAGAGCAAAGGTCTCTATAATATCTATGCAAGTGAGTTTCTACTTTTTATGCAAATAAAGGACACCAAAAATATCACATCAGCTGTATAAATACCAAAATATCCCTCTACAAAAATAAAACTAATTACTTCCCTTTCCCCCTTTTGTTTTTGTCATATGGTAAATCCCCCACTCTAAACTACTATTTAAACCAGTATCTCCCTCCTTTCTCACATGCTATGAAGCTCAGATAGAGTTACAGATAAGGTATTAATGACATCTCAAATATTTTAGCTGACATCAGAACTATCCTCTTTTGAACAATAATAATGCTGCTTTACACTTTGAAATTTAATTTCAGGCTATGAAATCTGACATAAAAATCTGGTGTGAGTTATCCTCCAGTCGTATTTGGATTTCTTTCCATTCCTTACAGACAGCGATGTAGGTATTCAAAATCAAAGCTGACAACCTAGAACATATAAGAGACATTCAATCTCATTTCCCAAGCCAGGCATTTACTGTACCTAAGACTTTGGAAATGCCAAGCTACATGAAACTAGTCCTGACACATGATTACTTGCAGTGTTTGTTGCATATAATAAACCAGCTGGTCATATGTTTTTTTAACAAACAAGGTGCTTCTGATTTTAAAAATACTATATATAAAAAAAAAAGTTTTAATACCAGGAGTCATGGAATAGTTGCAACTGGGAGCATTAGAAACTACAAAGGGAATTCTGAGAAACAGACACTGAAGATGAGATATTTTCACCATAGGACCAGAACAGAATGACTGGTCTGTTGAGTCAAGAGGAAATCTCCTACACTTAAGCAGTTCTAGAAGGTTCATTAACATACATGTTCATTTATGTATGCTTCGACAGACCAGAAAGGAATTAATAAAGGATAGTAACTCTGCCTACCAGGTTTTACCCAAAGTCAAGGAGAAGTGAACATGTGAGTTAGCTCTATATTTATTTTTACACTGTTCACTTGTTCACTGTTCTCTCCACTTCCTACACGTAAAATGAAGTCCAAACAGCTTAACAAAAATATTTCCCTTGTTTTCCACCATCTTTGGATTTCTCCCATATGAAACGAAGAACAGAATGAGATGCCTAGGAAGCAGAATTAGAGTGAGAAACTAACAGTTAGCACAGAATTATGGTATTTTCATGAAATTTAAAACTTACACAAACATTAGGTTAAAATGTATTTTGTCATTGACAGTCTCCTTAGTTATGTATCTGAACCTTTAGGTTTTGTATAGGGCATTATCATTTCAACATCATCTAAGGCATTTATATGGTATTTTAAATGTAAAAAAAGGCAAGGTAATCATTATGGTGGGCATACTGTAGCAATCCTTAACATCTGCAGACCTTAACACTGTTACTAGATACTAGTTTCACCTATGCTCTTCAAATAATCTTTGTTAGAAAGACAGCTTTGTAAATTAGATTCATGGTCTGTTTCACTCCTATGCAAAAAGTGGATTAAAATGCTGATCACTTTAGTCTGGGTTAAGCTGGAAACAAAGATTGAAAATGAAAATGAGAACATATAACTTAACAATTCTGTACAAATCTCTCCTTTGCTATTAAGAGGAATAATACACAATTTCATTTGCACACAGATAAAGCAGACAGAAATTGGAAAGTTGTGATTAACTCTGCTTCTGTTTTGGCTAGTCATTCAGGTCCTATTACAAATGTTTAAGTTTAAAAAATGTTCACTTTATAATTGGATAGCATCTTTCAGGGCATAAAAATTTAATTTCATTCCACTGCTACTTTCAATTTCTCAGTGGACATAGCCTGCAGGCCACATTTCATAACATGCCTTTCTGAGTCAGAATATTAAATATTTATGAAGTTTTTATTTAGAGGATTGATAAAATCCTGTAGATTACCTCTGAATCCCTAACAGAAATCCCAACACATTGGGAGCACGCAATTAATGTTTGGATTTTTTTGTAAGGGAACTACAGATTTACTATATGGAATTTCAAGCTCATGACAGTCATCTTTTATAATCTGAAAATACTTATGGTAATCAGCAACTGGTTGTAAGTATTTTGCTTTTGTATAGACCTAATTCAGAAACATCAAATTTTTTGAGATTCTTAGGTAAGAGTGACAGACTAGCATGTGGATGGAATAAATAAGACCATTTTATGACCACACAAAACCTAGGCCTCGAACTCATGCCTGAGAACCCGGCTACAGAGAATCCCGGAGCCTCTGCTTTTGCTTAAAACCAAATAAACCCCCAAACTACCTCTACAAATTTAATTCATGATATAAACATAAATAACATGTTTTCAATTACATTCATGTATTTAACTTTAGATGCCTGAGCTTATTGAATTGGGAAGCTAGTTTTTATGGATTCCCTATACAATCCACGCAGAGACACTTCTGTTGTGAATTTCACACACCAGAAATTCTTTGAGAGAAGATGTCCAACTTCAGCACCTGATGCACAGGCTGCGATATGATCCAATTATAAAAGGAAAGCTTAAGGGATGGAAAACCCCTCATATTTTACCTCTCATTAACATCTATTAATATTTGCCAAAGCCTGCAGAAGAAACGCCCTTGCCCTGCATCTTAGTGGACTGCTAATACTACAGCTCCTGGGATCTGAAGCTCCAACAGAAAAACAAATCAAAATCACAGGAACAGTGTACAGTTTGTATAAAACCTGCAGTGCAGCTCTTTGCTGCTCTCCCTGCTTCTTTAAAGTAAATGCTGCTTAAAAAAGATAAGAACTCTTTCTATGGGACAGTCAAAACCAGCCCCAAGATGCTGCTGCTCCCTTGCTACTCTGACACTAAGCATAAGAGCTTAAAAGAGAACTCGAATTCCACCTTGAATTGGAATTGGAACATGCCACAGTGGAGTCCATCTCAACCGAATTTATCCTGGCTAGCCTTATTTTATTGTGCTCAGCTGCAGTTAGCTTCTTGAAAGTGGTCTGAAGTCCCTCTCAACTCTGCAAGTAACCTGGCAACAAAAAACTATTTTAATGATTAAAAGAATTCACTTAAAACTTTTTTTTTGTGGTTTTCTTTTTGATTTTTTTGTTTGGTTTTTGATTTTGGTTTTGTTTTAGAAAACAACCTTAACCTAAGAAAACATTATTTCAACACCATCTAAAGCATTTTTAAGTGCTGCCATGTACTTACTATACAGTGTCAAAAAAAGTAGAATAAACAGAAGTGATCCACATCAAACTCATGCCATATTGTTATATAAACACTTTAATGAAATCACTTGAAAGGACATCATGATCCAACTATACATCAGTGACATTTAGTAGTAAACAACTCCATTACTAAGTTAAGTGTAGGGCAAGCATGAAAAATACTTGAAGGCAGATGAAACTGAATTCTGGGCAAGATAACTAAGAGACAGATGTGAGCAAAAAAGTTATGGAGCATACACAACTTATGTCTACAAATAAACTGACAGAAGTTGCATCCCTTCTGGTAGCAACATCTTGCTATTCTATTGCTCCTCTAAGAAAAGAGAAAGCATCAGTTATTACAACTAAGAAAATCGACAAGACAAATTGATTGGAATTACTCCTCAACACTCAACTATTTGTATCTACACAGACGCACACCATTAGAACTTTTTAAATTAGCAGCATATAGAAATCTAATTAGGAAGTAAGTGAAACACTTTAGCTTTTGTTAATTCAGACTTGCAATATTTCTATGGCTCCTGTCTAAATGGAACTTAGCCATAATGAGTTCTGCAATACTCTGAACATCATTCAGAATGAATATATTCCCGATTATGAAATTTTCCTTTCTAGAACTCATATATAAAAAGGATGCAAACACACAGTGCTCATCTGTTGTTCAAACAATGATCACCCAGCACTGCACACCCCCTGGGCTTTATTGTCAAAGCAACCTTCATGTGGGTGCTACCTAAGTGCAGGCTTGTTCAAGGTGTTCAAGTTTCAGCTGCTCTGCTACTCCAATCAATTTGAAGGCAGTCTTTCCCCTTCTATTGACATGGGAGCATATTCTCACCTTGGTAAATATACTTCCACTTTTTGCTTCTTTACAGAATTAGCCCATTCATTAATCAATGAGGCTTTAACCAGTGGTTCCAATGACACCAGTGGAACTTCCTGTCTGGAAAGAACGATCATCATACTAATCTCATCTCCCTCATATGGTATTTCCAGAACTTGATAGATACCGCCTGCTTCGTTGGATCCATCACTGAACTCTCCTACAAGAGAAAAACAACAACAAAAGCTAGTAGAAGTATTTTCTTTTGTTTTCACTGGAGACAGAGAAAAAAATAGAAGGCTAATACTAGCCAGTATTTACTAGGTATAGAACCAGAAGTGACCCTTTTTTTCTGTATGAAATGTATATTGGTGTCTTCATCATAAGATTTGAGGCTTACATCTGCTTTCTTACAGAAACAAGCAATCACGCAGTTTGTAAATAATCACACTTCTGAACCTATTACCTAACTTTCATTGGTTAGAGAGAAGTATGAAAGTTGTTAAGGTTGCCAAGACTTTCAGGGAAACAGGTGGAGGTTTTCTATTCAAGAGAATTTTTCAATGATGAGACTGAGCAAAATACTGCAGGTGTGAGACACTGCAGAACTCACTTGGGGCTCGAGATAAAAATGATCCTTAGTTCTGCTGTTCAAAGAACCCCTATTTTAGCTCCCTAAGGATACCACAACAGTAACAAGCAAACATTTGTTTAAATATTTAGCACAGAACAAGAAAAATCTTTTACAAGAAGCAAGACTAACTCAAGAATTGTAAAGAGGTTAGATCTAGTGGATAAACATTCTGAAATCCACCATGTGGCATCACACACATACCTAAAAAGTAATCAAGAAAGAGCTCTTTATAGATGCTGCTATCTAGTTATAACAGACAAGAACACACACTACAAAAAGATGCCAAAACCAGAGATATTTCACTGGACAAACACCACATTTAGAGTTCTAGGTCAAAGAACAGACAACGCCACAAATGAGTATTACTGCAACATACCTATTCAGGAAAGATTTATTAGCTTTAAAGCTGCTAAAGCTCCAACTCACCATAGTAAAACTCTCCCTGCTGGTACATCATTGGAATCTGCACTTCACTTTCATCATCTTTAGTGAAAGAAAAAGTTCTTGTGTTTTCAGGTCTGAACTGTGATTTCCAATTGCCTTTAAAGTAGATTGCGTTGATCAGAGCCAAATGAGTTGGAGAACCAAAATCTCCTGAAGACACAAAATCCTTGATCATATCTAAGAAGAAAACCAAGTGTCAGTCTGCATATCAAATTGAGCATTAAATGAAAACTCAAGACAACTTGAAAAATGCAAAAAAAAAAAAAAATAAAAAATCTGTGCTACCATGTAATTTCCAATTCAGATGTTTCATTGAATCTCAAATTAAACTGCCAATGTTTTGTAAACCCAAATCACAGTGTGGGTGTGTAAACCCTTCCATTAAGTACATGCTAAGTCAACTGCTTCTTGATCACTACTTAAATATACACACAATGGAACCAAGTGGAAAAGGGGTCACACAAGCAACGTTTGTACTGGTGCTATAATACAGTTCAGCACTACTGTCTTAACATCAAAACTTCTACAAACTCTGGCTCCAATACAAAGAAGCACTTAAAACATATGCTTTATTTAAAGCGCATATGCGTACCCATTGGAACCTGCACCTGGACCAATTTTGAAGGAAGCATTCACTTTCAGTAATGTCCTACTGACTTCTAAGTACGGAATAATTATAAAATCCCCCATAAATTCATAGCATTTGTTCTGTTGACATTAGCTCTTGAAAAGCAAAAAAACCCAACCATTTAGCATCTGCTCTATTCATGGGAGGTACATCAGCTGAGCATGGCAGCTGCTTTGCTCCTAACTCCCAAGTCATTTACATCAGAACACAGTCTGCTACCTGCTTTAATTCATCTTAAATGGCTTGCTTTTAAGCAGAATGATTTAGACTTGGTTAAATTTGGTGCACTGTCCAATTTGTCACTATTCCTAAAGAATTACAGCTTACTTCTGATAGCTTTCTTGCTTACTTCTATTTTTAACTGATATTGCAATGCAAGGTGTTAAAGTAAACACATTTATCAGATTATTACTTCTTAATCCATGGTTTAAAATACAAATTAATTCTGCTTTCTGGAGCATATGACACTAACTGCTGTGAAATTTATGTATTAAAGGGCAGTATTTCTTCTGAGTCGCTGTTTGTACTTCATTTTATCTAGAACATTCTTAGAAATTAGATGTGACCAATACTGCTAAACTCATTCTCTGTGACTGGGAAAGAAAAAACAAAAACACAAATAAACAAACAAACAAAGGATTAAGAAGGAACACACTTCCAATTTTTCTGTTTCTATTTAATACATCATATTCCCTTGTATTTTCAGTCTCATCCTGTTAATACACTAATGTAACTGAGAATTTTCCTGGCCAGAAAAACCCTGGACAGGTGTATTTTCTGCTCTGACCCTCCCATCATGCTTAACATGCTGAATTGGAAACCTGCCCGTTTTGTACCCCTTTTCTAATGAGAAAATGAGCCTCTACTGTATGAGCTAGCAGGCAGGAAGGGAATGAGATCTAGTGGTCAGAGACTAGGCTAAGCGACTGTTACTATCGCAACCCACCCCTAGGAGACACACAGCTGCCTTTGTTAGCTCTACATAGCTCCTTCCAGGACAAGGTTACGAACTCGGTCAGCACATGGCAGGTGTTAAGTAGGAGAACTCTTGCTGTTCCTTCTAAAAGAAAGAATTCTACTTTTTCTTCAGATAGACACCATGTTTCTCTGAAAACACTCTGCAATCTGCTGCATTGCTTACATTCTCTCTATTTCTGTAACTTCAGATAAAGGGCAGAATTTAGTATGAATATAGTAGCTGTTATTTTTCCTTGGAAAAAAAACCACCAGGTAACATTCAAAATGAAATAAAAACAATATATAAGGTGGTTTTCCACTTTAGTGCCATATATTTCCATTAAGCATTGTGGACTCTTAAATGTTCAGACTAAATGGTGATGTGTTAAGTCATTACAGAGGATTCCAGTACCTTCACATTTACAAGGGTATAACTGATGTTAGAGTGAGACCCCTGTTGAATTACAATTAAAATATCAACCTCCAGAGAATGTCAGATGAAGTAGAATGAGATAATCCCCACAACAAGGGACTAACCTCACTCCCATACCTTGAGAATCTGCATGTATTCAGAAAATGTCACTTATTTGGGATTCCACAGGCGAAACAAGACCTAAATCATGCAGATTTGAATATGCATATTTACAACAGTAATTTGGTGTTTATTCCCCTGCTGCAAATTTTTGTTGTGAAGCCCTGTTGACAGTTCCTCGCATTGGAACAGATTACATTACAGGGCCTGATTTTGTGGTTTGAAATTATCTTCTGTCTTCCTTTGTATTCTGTTCTGACTACCTTGTAACTGAGTTTCTTAAGAGATCTACTCCAGCTATTCAAAGCATACACCAATAACCCCTTTGTAGACAACTTGTCTGCAGTTAGTAATAGTACTTACCTAATTTTTTTGTAACTTAATACCAAAATCAGTATTAAAATGCTATTAAAAAGCCTACCATTAAAACATTCTCCTTCAGTAAATGTTACAGGTGCTTTAAGACAGTAGACAGGTGAAAAAAATATTCAGATACTACTACATGACTAGCCATGGATAACATTACTTAAGAGAGAGCTTTCCTCTACAGGAAAAAAGTTATAATTTCACAAAGAACAGATACTAGAATTCTTTTCATGCAAGGAGTCACTATAGTCTCAAATGGAACAGATAAAAGCCAAGGCAACAATTCAACACCACTGTAATACTTCAGAAACACAAACACTTACTGCAGGAAGTATACAAAAGAATCACATGGACTTACTATTTGTATGATTCTCCACCCATCTATTGATTTGGGTAGCTACAGCTGCACTTTGGCTGAAATCTACATTCTCTACTTCAGCTCTAAAGTATTTTTTCACCAGCTGCAGAAATTTGTCACTGATATGAAATCCATTTTGCACATAGAGAGAATTAGCAACATTCAGAACATAATGACTTTCTTCAGTAGTTGCCATATCAGAAAGGTCCTTTAAAAAGGTAAACTCTTCACCTGAGGAAAGAAAAACAGATTTTCTGTTTCAGAAAAGGAAGGGTTTTTTTCTGCTGAAGTTCGCAGTCTTTTTTCCAAACACTTTGAGATCTGAAAGAACAATGTACAACGCAGAACATGTTATTTTTTCTATTATCTATAATTAGCATAATTAATGAGACATTTGAATCCCATCACACACAAAATTAGCAACAGTAATTTTTTCAACACCAAAAGAGGAATAAAAAAAAAATAAAAATCATCCTTATAAGTCACATTTGTATGTCTTGTGCTAAGGGATAATTTATCAATGTTTTAGAGACACTGTGGAACCAAATATGTGCTGTAGACTCCACAGAGAGACATCATCTGTGCAGTGGTACTGTTGAACACATCTTGAACACTGTATTTAGAAATTCCTCCCCAGGATCCTTTTATCAAAGACTTAGAAGTCCAGCACATTATGTGAGTAAGAATTATAATTCAGGCTTCAAACCAATTACTTTTATATCAAAATTAACAGAAATTGCCTCTTCCAAGCAATTTTTTTGCCATTCACTGATCTTGTCCATTTGCAGTCACATTACGGTGACATGCACTAACAGCTGAAACTAACATTCAGCAGTACATCCAGGTCCATGAATTATCTCATCCCATACTACAAATGGGACAGCATGGTAGTAATGTTTTCCGCTGAAGAACTGAATCCTGCTTCTCAGAAAGGCTGATGGGAACACATGGCATACTGTACTGAAATAGCCACAATGCTTATATTTCCTGATTAGCTTGTATATCTGTATGGGGCATTATGCAACGCAGAAAGAACATTAGTGACACAGAATCAGGGTAAAGAACCTACAGGTTCTACTTACAAGAACCAAACAATTTGTGTAAGAGACATTTTCAGTTAAATTACTATGCTTTTCATATTTTCTTATAAGCAATATTCCTGGAGCTACTACTTTTCCAGCTTCGTTATAACCAGATGTTCCTAAAAATCTTATAACTCTCGAGGCAAAGGCAAGCTTATTTTGCAGAGAGAAACCAAGATCAACAGTCTGATTTTTTGCTCAACAACTTGAGCAACCTGAAACTGCTTCAGGTTGCTCAAGTGCAGATTCAGGTGCCCAAGCCAAGCACCTGATGCTCTCATCTCTCAGCTTATGCAGAACCCACTAAAGGATGCTTCAGCATGCTCAGGCCATTAAACAGGATGCCAAGAAGCCTACTGATTAATAACCCATGGACATGACCGGGCCACTTCCATCATTGTTCAGGCATTGCCATCTGTTTCTTTCAGAGAAAAAGCTCCATAGTAAAACATGATTAAAAGGACTTACCATTTTTTAAGCTGTCAAAACCCAACGAATGCCGAATTTCTTTCAGAGTGGTTCCATGAGCTCCAAGCTCTACCATTCCCATGGCTATTGCAATGCTCAGAGGAGAGAAAAGAATATTCTCATCTTCTCTTGCAGCTCGTAGCTGACTGTAAACATTCACAGAAAGCTCAGCAATGGTTTCATCAGGAAAATTTATCTTGAAAGCTTTGCTTTGCAAAGCAAGCAAAGACAACAGTCCAAGGACATACATGACTTGAGATTTTAAGATCTGCAAGACAAATTTTAGAGAAAATAAGTTAATCTTGTTTAAGTAATAATACATTCAACTTGAGAAAAAAAAGAATACCAAACTTTAGTCTTAAATCTGTGGGAAAAAAAATCCCGACTGGAGTTCAGTGCACGATTCAGTTATTTGGAAGCAACACTAAAAGACATATTGCTCAAACAGAAGTAAAAATCTATTTACATAAAATGATAGACTACTTCATTATGGACCTAAAAGTTTTTCAAGTCTTTCAGCCACAGATTAACAAAACATGGCCTGTACAGAAAAAGACCTCAAAGACATAGCAACAGCTTCCACTTTTTAATTCTGTTGTTGTAATTGTTAAACAATGCTGATCTGGAATCAGCATGTATTCCTGTACTTCTTCACCAGGGAGACCTACAAATCCACATTACTTTCATCTGACCTTCCAGTAAGATATAATTTATTCATCTAAGTCACTCTAACACCCAAATGCTAACTCCTATTTCAAGCACCATAACAGAATTTGTGGACACTGGTGACAAATGAAAATTCTGTGGACATCCGTGACAAATGAAATGTACCGTGATGTTGCTCAGTTGCAAAACACATGACAGGCAGCCAAAAATTCTTTGAACGAAAAATCTTGACTTAGTTACCAATGGAATCCCTTTTGTTAGTAAATAATGGTGAAAAGTTAGGTAGTTATGCTAGCTAAGAGACAACACCCCCTCAGAGGTCTTTAGAGGACAAAGTTACTGTACACATCACTGACAAATATCCATCGGGGAAACAAGGAAGTAAACAAAATAGCAAAAAGGGGCTAGCATTAATGTTTCTGACTAATCCATCCTTCAAGCTTTGCTAAAATGCTTCAGTAAGCAACAATTCTCACCCTACCACAGTTCAGCTCATCACACAACTACTGATATTAAAACCTGATCTCCTGGAGTAGTGTGCATCTATCTCCATCCTTCCATTTTTTCCTTTAAACTCCAGGCTACCTTGGCACCTGACCCACTACTGCCATGTGTCTTGGGTCAGAAATACCAAGCCAACAGAGCTTGCATTTCAATTCCTCCTGTTCACCACTTACTCTGTAACACATGCAAAGCAAATATTCCCAAAGGAGAGTTAGACAGTGAAAGACTAAAAGCTTTAGTCCAGAAGCGCCTACATGTTGTTGTGCCAGTCTGCAGCTCTTGTCAGCATGGGATAAGTTTCTGTGAATGTGTTATTCTGTTGCTTGACTGAAGCCAACACGCATGTAACCAACTCCAGTGCCTCTGCCTTATGCTTCCCAGCTCTCCTGTGCCTGCACTTACCGTGCGCTTCCAAATACCTGATGGAAACCCTTAGTAAGCTTTAGACAACACTTACATTACATATTTCATCTTCAAAGGCCTATGTAGCATTATCTGATAAACTCACAGGACTGAACAATATGTAATTTAAGCATTATTACTTATATTTTATAGCTGAGAAAACATAAAAAGCAACAGGGTACACATACATGCCTTGGTAGCAGCTTATGCAGTCACTAGTTAAGGTATTTCCTGTCCCCTATCCACGGAGCAGCCTTTTGCTTATTTTTGCACTGAAAAAATTAAATTGATGATCTGGTCCAGCAATCACTCATGCTTTAGGGGAAGGACAGGATCCTAGGGCGATACGGCTGCTGGAGCCTCACTTCTCCCCTGCCCCACATCTCCTTTCTGACAATTGCTTCCATATATGCAAGAAATATGCCCCTTTTCTCAATTTCTAATAAGCCCTCCTCTATGCTGGCATCACTTCATCTCTCTGGACTACCTGATCAATCTTTCTCTCATTCTTAGCAAGATATTAAAAATCTCCACCAAAGGCTCTTACTCCATTTAAGAACAACACTGTAAGTCATATGAGCCTAAAGCACCAGCTTCATATTGTGCTTATTACTTGAAGACTACATATTTCAGTACACTTACAAAACTACCCAGTACTTCACTGCCGTCCAATGGAAAACGGTTCAACCAGAGCCACGACCACTGCTATTTATTTCACAAAGGCTGAGGCAGTCTTATTATTGTCCAAAACATCAACATCCCACAAACTTTCCCAGTAACTGCTTTTCTTACAGCAGTTAACCTTTTTTAGCCTTCCCATTTATCACTGACTTTAGGTTATTAGTGTTTCTGTCACAGGAAATAACTGGATTTATTTTTCTTGTGATCACAGGCATTCCAGATTTCTTTATCAAAAAAGAAAAAAAAAAAGAAAAAGGCAGAGCATAGCACTCTCCCAGTGTATTATATGCATAATATAAGACTTCATTCAGCACATCACTGTGACAGACTGAGCCCAGGTATTAGTCTCACATCCTAAAAACTGGTTTATAAAGTTACAGCACACCGAAGATCAAAAACAGTAGCAGTGTCAAAACTGATATTCTAAAAATAGACAAGCAGAAGCTCATCTTTTGTTGAGGATGAACCCAAAGCATCATCATGGCTTTTAAATTGGCCTGCAAGTCTGGGGAATCTCACATCCTAATCTAAGCAAAAAAATAGTGTTGCTCAATGTTGATGCAATTATACAGGTAGCTAAGCTTCAGCCCCTGGTATCAAGAGCTGTTTGAGTTCACTTTGAGACCTGACAAGATTACAACAAATATAAGAATCTTCAATTTCAAAAAAGGAAATTCCCCCATTTGGTTGCAGAGGTAGTTATTTAGCACTCCATCACTGATTTTTGTCATACATACTACTGCCAGAGAGCCTTAAATAACTGCAGGAGGGAACAACGGAGAAAATCTATACATCTTAATTAAGTGCTTAACATGTAGGTTATTTTATTAGCATTTGAATAGTCTATTTGGTATCAGACAATGCTAAAAAAACATCATTCGTCCTCCTGACCACTGCAGAAAAGCTATTCATGTGAGACAATCAAGTTATAAAATTTATAATTATTTAGTTGGACAGAAAATGGAGTAGGAACATAGATGGGGACAAATAAAACTCATACTGAAATGATTTTGCATGACAAAGAACCAAATAAACTCAGTTTTTTAATACTTGCTTAAATCCAATGGATGGCAATAAAAGAGGTTAAGCTGTACAGAATTTAAGTTCCCAGTAGGAGTAAATTAAAGCCAAGTAACTCAGATTTTGTCCCCACTTTTAGTCTAGAGAGGTTTTCTAACAGAATTCATAATGAAGTTACCCATACACATGTCCAGGGAAAAGGAAGAGAGGCAACGAAACAGGAATGAACACCCAGGTATAGGCAGAGAATGTGACCAGGTCTTTTGCTGGCAGTGTTCTCAAGATATTTGTGAAAAATGTGGCTCGCAACGTATGACTAAAAGTACAATGCAAGGGAAGATGCTTTAAAGCAAACTGAAGATCTGTGGGTTATAGTGGGGAGAAGGCTGTAAAGCAGGACAGACATTTAGTCAGTCCTTGCCAGCCAATGTGAAAACAGTCTAATCTCATCCATCTAATCTGAAATGTCTGTGGTAAATTCTTCAGTTTAATTCTTCTTGCACTTCTGGTACAAAAGTACACTGTTCTACTGACAACAGGGAATCCAGCTCTTAATTATCATTCTAGTCATAACAGCTACTGCTTCTCTGATTCTGCCTTACTTTAGGCTGTATTACTTCTGGTTTATGCTTCCTCATGCCTCTTCATGAGCAGACCTTGATCCAAAAAAACAGCTGAGCACTCACTATGGTGCAGCATGTTCTCAGCATCTCTCCTCAGAGCAGAGGGCACTCTGTTTTGTTTCCGCAGCAGTATGGAGAGCATTTCTAAAATTGACTGTACCCTATTCACAAATATATTTCAAGTGAAGGAAATGAAGCTGAATATTATGTAGTGTATGTCCAGGAACTTAAAAAATCCCCAGTAAGTATCATAAAACTTTTTAGTCTTTTTAGACTCTTCCTCAGAGTCATCACCAGTACAGCTCGTCACTGATTTCTGCATCAATGGAATCTAGCTAAAAAATATTGGATCAGCTGTAAAGGAGTCAAAATTCACATTGAACAATGTTAAAAAAAAAAAAAATCAAGAACTATCAGTTTCAAATATTACTGCACACATTTTGTATTTACTGGCTATCTATATGAACACAAAAAAAAGCTATTCAAATTACTGTGACTTCTCCATTACACAGATGTTAAGTCCACAGATACAAATTTCTTCTTTGGGGGCCAGTCTTGGGCAGAATCTACATTTTATTGTATTTTATTTTATTTTACCTTAAAGGATGCATGAACACCACTCTCCCCCCTACAAGGCAATCGATGAATTAGGGCAAAAAGACAAACACTCTCCTTGCAATAGCCTCTTCTTGAAAAACAATTGAGTATCACAAACCATTCCTTGCTAGACAGTTCTGTCAGAGCATCAGTTCTGTACTTTCTTACAACTGTTCACGGGGGGGGGGGGGGGAACAGTAACAGAACACTAAACAATGCTTCAAACATCTGAGAAAAAACTGTACCTCCAGATGAGATCTTATTGCACAGTTACACTTGATATTGGCAGGTGACTTTACCACAACATCAATGTAAATTGGCTTCTCCAACATAAACAACACTTCTTTATTTGAATATCAATTCCACTCAGTTTGATATTCCTGCACGGTTCTTCTGGTGGTTCTTTCTGGGTACAGAGACATGCCTGTTTTGTCTAGGGGCTTCTTTTGCCTTTAGACACTGTTCTGTGCAATGTTTTGAGAGTTTCTTGGAGACAACATACATGAAAGACATCTTTGTTTATTTCTTTTTCCACTTCCCTCACACATTACTTAAAATAATAAAAAAAAGAAACTCCAGGTATATGACATTATGTAGGTACTGGCAGAGAGGTCATGACTAGCTGAATTCCCAGGAAACTTTTTCATTCAAAGTTTCAGAAACCTTCTGTAAAGGTTTCATCAGTCCTGAAATCCAGCCTACCACTTTTCTACAACAGCTCACAACCAGATCGGTTTAAAGGCAGCATTCCTGTTTGCCCTGTGGCCACCACAGATGTAATCCTGTAGGCAGGCAGAGGGAA